GTACATTCCTTTATGGAATTTGTTTAATATTAGTAATATATAATGATATTATCAGCAAATTTGAATTAGTAGTTAGCTGTTGACAACTGAAAATGTTAGTCTTATTTTGGCGTGGCGATATGGTTATATGGTTATGATGTCGGATCAAGACCCAATTATCCCAATAGAGTAGGCAAGATGAACCAAGAACGAGAAGTCAAAAATCGCATTTTCATTTGAGCAGAGCTTGCATACTATACGTATATGTATGTAAAATAAAAGTAATTAATTACAAAAATATATTATTGTTTCTTTTATATCTTAATAACTGTTGATATTTTATTTTATAATACTTTGATAGCAATGAAAAAAAGAGAGTCACAAAAATTTAAAACTAATTTCGGAAAATATGCCTGAAGGAAAAAAAACCTTAATGTAAACGCTAACTTCCAAATTCAAAAGAGCCATTTTTTCTCGCAAACTTCTAAGCATACGCCTTTTTTCACTTTTTTCTTCATCTTCAATTAATTCCAGGCCTAAAATATGCCTACCCATTTCAGTTTTTATTTTTTCTCAAACTAACGACCCAAAATCAAACAGCAGATTTTTTTGTTACCTCCTATTTTCCTGGTAAAAAAATTTACAGGGTGACAGTGAACTCAGAATACGAAATTGTAACAAAATGTACTGAATGGGAAATTTTAATGCCAAAGTAAATTTTGTTACCTAGACAGAAAAGGCCTGTGAAAGAATGCTTTAACTTATCACAGTCCAGTTAGAAATGTATTTGACATTATATTAGCCGGCTTTCACGTAAGTAACCAAAACTGTTGCTAACTCAGTGAAATTCATTTATTTAATATCATTTCGTTTCCTTTTTTATGGGAATTCAGTTGAAATAAATTAGACGTAAGTCTTACTTTGAAACAAGAAGAGAATTCGTCATTTTAACGGCTTAGAGTTAGAACAACAAAATATTTTGGTGAAATTCTAAATATGTATAAAACGATACATTATAGATGGTAGGAGCACTAAAGATGTGACCAAAAGGAATAATAACTGAAAGGCATTGCCATTCATCACTGTACATGTAAATACAAGCACCCTAACTTTATGCGGCCGCGGTAGCCGGGTTGTTAGCATTGCCTACTGCCATTCGGAAGCATCGGGCTTAAATTCTAGTGTCGTACTAATATCCAAAACGTTATAAAAAAATAATGTGAACAAAAAATTAGTTCAATTTTCTCATTGCGGTCGCCCCACAGGTCGCAGGTAATGTCAAACCTCTCCGAGTGTATTTCTGACATGGAATAAAGCTCTTCATAAGAAAACATCAGCCGCTCGGAGGCGGCTTCCATTTGTTGAAAAACATTAAGACGGCGAAAACCGCTTCAACGGATACAAAGTGTCAATTATATATCTAAATATATATGCATACATACGTGTATATATAAATTTCTGAGTGTCATTGTTAAGATACCGCATTGCTCTTGCAAGTGCCTACTTTAAATAGACTTCTATTATATTATAATAATTACTTTGACACTTCGAAATGTAAAATTATACTAATTATTATTAAAAATTTATTTTGTATTTGTATAGTATAACAAATGTGAACGGAATCGGACCACCTATGATTCAAAATGATCTGCAAATGGTCAAAAATATATGATAGAAAGGCATTCAAATTTTTATTTTATTTGAATGGAATGAATTGAAAACATATTTTTCAGTGTGAACAGTAATTGCAGGTACAAATATCCTACCGCAAAAATAAATAAATTTCAATATGATTTTCTAATCAATTTTCAATTTGAAGAGTTCAGTCAGAAAGGTCTACTAATGAAAGCTGTTGTGTAGACTCTACGAGAAATTGCAGAAATCGTTTCTATTATAACAATGCTTGGCATTACGTGCGCTTCTTGCTCATCGGAGCTCGTGTCTATAACAAATGGGAGTTTAATGAAACGCATATGTATATGGAATGATTTGATGTCAAGACAAAACTCACATGACCTGTTTCTTTCTTTGACCATCTTGTGGAGCACAGCTACTGCAACAGTAACATTTTTCGCTGCGTGAAAATCAACTCGAGGTGAGGGTTTGAGTATAAGCATTTAAGCACTCGATTGCAGACCGTGAAAAGCGATTAGCTTACTTTCATTCTCTAGAAGTTATGGTACTTCTAAAGGAAGTTAATAATAATGACAAATTGGGATAGTCCGAATCACCAACTGCGTCATAAGCAAAGCACTTGAACATTTAGCGAGTAATACCCCTTTCTGTTAATAAAAGAGACAGCACTCATTGGTCCAACACTTTTCGCAGGACAGTTTATCCGAGCTTGGATGCTGTCAATAACTCCAATGACTGTGGGGAGTGTTGCTATTTGCTACAATCGGTTTTTCACTTGGTTCAATTCACTGTTTCTTGAAAAACCAATAAATGAGGGAAGAGCAAAGCTTTTTTTACGTAAATATCATTAATAATCCTTCCAGCAGTGGCTTGTGAAAACCCATGCAAATCACCTACTGTTTTACTGGTTTTCTTACACAAAACTTTTCGAGTTCATATTTTGTAGGTTCACAGATTCAGCAACAGCTTTAGTAACAGTTTCAGCTTACCCTTTGAAGTCGATTCAAAATATATAAGACGTATCTCTCTCGGTTATTGTTAAGATGAAGTATACCTTTAGTTAGTAACAAACCTGTGAACTTGTCCCTATCATTCAAGTATCATTCTAACTAACTCATTACTATGATTATGGTCTATAACTCTGTACAAAAACATCAAGACGCATAACACCAATTGGAGGAGGACTTCGGCCGAAAATCGCTTCAGCAGTTACAAAAGACCAATTAAAAAAAATTCAGAGTTTTTTAAGTTGTTTGTAGTTTTTTTACTACTCTTGAAAAGTAGTACACTCATACTCATTTAGTTTGAACTTTTCTAGTGCAAATGATTTGCTTAAGGCAAGTAAAACTTAATTAATGTTCTTTTGCAGTTATACAATACAAACACAACGTATGTATGTACGTCATTACCTAAAAATTAATCAAAAAAGTTAAAGCCACAGTATTCACGTTTCAGCTTCTGCAGTAAGAGCATGTAGCATGTATTTGGGTTAGGGTGAAGAAAATAAGTTCTAAATTTCAACTTAAATTTGATTCAAAAGTACGATTTGTATAAAATATACTAGCTGACCCGGCGAATGTCTTCCCGCTTTTCTCTTGCTTGAGATCAATTCCAATAAGGAACAAGCATCATCATTTTTTATGAACTTGGGCAATGATTCAAGTCAAGCCTATACAAATAGACAAGTCTTCTTTCATTTTCTTCCACTTCTTCCTCCAGAATTTGGTTCAAACAGGCATCTAATTGAAGACATTAGTCTACCAAGTAACTCTCCTCTATTCAGGAGTAAGTTATCTATAGGAAAAGAAACTTACGGAGTAAATGCACACAATACAATTCGAAAACCTTACTTTTTACACGCAAATTTATATTTGGAAAAAACCGAAATACATTGATTTTTAACCAACCGTTTGTGAATGTGAACAATATATTCATTATTTCCAATACTCGAATCAACCGCAGCAAAGCAAATAAATATATTGCTGTACAAAGATATACATTTACTAAAAGAAACCCTCCGGCTCAGATCGAAAGGATGCGCGTTCGATATTCGAAGAAGACAATCATTGTTATTGCTGGCATTCTCGTTGAGCAGCCACACGATGTTTTCTGGTTTCAGGAATATCCTGAGCAAGAACTTGACATCTTCACTTCGCGATTTTCGACCAGGACGTTCAATCGTTCCGATTCGAGCAGATTCCCTTGCTGTAGCATTTTCCTCTTCCGTACGACTTGCACGTATAATTACGTTGGTCCGTTGATGGTCGAAAACGCCGAGCGATGTTAGCGCGACCTCTCCGTGGCTTCGTAACAAACAAACACCCATAAAGTTTTCATTGAATAATTTTCAATAATACCTTTTGAATAGCCTTATTTCAACAAACAAGCCGTTCTCGAGCATTAGCATCACTAACAAAAAAAAACATTCATTTTTTATATATATTATAATACATATATATATATATTTAAATAAAAGTTCAAGCAAACCAACCACTCACTCAAACGATTTTTCGAATAATTAACTCAATGTACTTTTCCTGGAGTGTTACTAATGTAAATATTTGACGAATTTCTAGAAATCTTTTTTTCTTTTTAAGCTTATCAAATTGAGCAATATCTAACAGCAATAACAATTCATTATCTCCTCGATGTTTTTAAAAACCTTTCCTTTTAAATTTTTTTTTAACTTTAGGAAATAACCAGAAATCACACGGTACTATATCCGGGGAATATGGTACAGGACGTATTTCTTCGAGCCCAGAGATCGCAATAAAATTACTCGTTATTTCAGCAAATTTTTGAAAACTTTTGGTAAGCACTTTTCTTCTTAGCGGCTTTGCTAAATATGATAGACTGACCATTTTCGAATTACTTTTGGAGAAATTGAGCACTCGAGCTTCCTTTTGACCCCATTAAAAATTTGTGGTAGCCATCGAGCAGATTTCTTCGTGTATCCCAGATGATTTCTTAATATTCGCAATTCAGCCATGGCATTCAAGCAATCATTTCTTAGGTCAATCGTGGGCTTTCGTCAATTTTCGGCTTTAGTGAGCTACCGTGATGTCATCAGTGGAAGATTTTCGTCGACCTTCGCGGGTATCGACAGGTCTGGAATCTCCGGAACCACTTAGAAACAGTCTCTAAATACGGATTGCACCATTTTTGCCATTGGCTATTTGGCATTCACTGAATATTTGTATTGGCTTGATATTTCCGAGTTAGTTATGCTGTCCTAATCTCAGCGTGGAATCATAGAAAGAGAATATTTGTAGCAATGGCTAAGGAGGCACAAACAGAGATCCCATGCAAAAAAACAAGGTTGATTTCGCTCGAGTTACGGATCTGTATACGATTGTAGCGTAATGAAAAAAAAACCTAATTGTCAACCTGGATTGTCAATCAAAAAGAAACACATACATAAATAAAATTGTAAAAAAAAGAAATGAGAACGAATTCAATACGATTTTTTATAATCAGCAATATCTCGATTATGAGATACATACGCTTATGCGCTGAACAGCTGCTGAATATTCATTGGACGCGCGTCGCTTACCCAAGTCTCTCTCAGCCGGTTGCGATTATAGATAGTATTGAGCGCATACGCTGCCGCTACACTAATATCGCAAACGGTACTATCAACACTCTCCGCGGAATAAGCACAGCAACTGGTGGTGGCTATCGCAATGGCCAAACGACGCCACTAGAATTCAGTTGCTCAGCAAGTGTCGCTCTTACTAAACGCGTACGAAAGGTGCCACGCTTTAGCAACGCGTTTCCACAACAAACGAAAAAGCAAAATAGTGCAACGAGAATACAGGTAATTTCACTTCGTTTTAGTGAAGAAGTCAAAAACGAAAACGTGGAACGCAAATACACTGATAGTTGCGAATCAGCAGCGGATATATCCTCAAAAGCAAGGGCACAACAGAAAACTAGAAAGCAAGCAATGAAGTCAGCGCGAATTGTGGTGATTGGCGCCGGCTCCGCTGGTATAGCAGCAGCGACGCGTCTCCTGCAGTCTGGTTTTGAAAATGTTTTGCTACTCGAGGCGGAAAATCGATATGGTGGACGTGTGCACACACTACCCTTTGCAGACAACGTTGTCGATTTGGGCGCACAATGGTGTCACGGTGAGAAGGGTAATGTGATCTATCAAACGGTGCGTGAGTTGAATATGCTTCAGCCAACAGGCGATATCTATGACGACTACAAATGTGTGCGCTCCAATAGAGAAGTGATATCCGATTCGGTGACTGATTCACTTAAATCAATTGCCTTCAATTTGATACCCTCACGACAAGAAGGCTTGAGGTGTTTTGAAGGCTCTTTGGGTACGTATCTTACAGAGGCCTTTTGGAATGACTTAAAACAAGCGCCCGAAATCGATAAGGCTGTGGCGCGTGAATTTTTCGAAAATTACAAGAAATTCGAGAGTTCAATTGAAGCATCTGATCATCTGTTTGAAGTTTCCGGCCGAGGTCATCTCGAGTACTGGATATGCGAAGGTGATCTACTGCTCAATTGGAAAGATAAAGGTTTTAATGGTTTCCTTCGCCTTCTCATGAAAGCGGAAAATGACGACAAAGATGACATGGGTCTACTTAACAAACGTATACAATTCAATGCGCGCGTACAAAACATTGAATGGAAAACTACATGTGGTGTTGTGCGCATACGTCTTTGGAACGGTGAACTCATCGAAGCCGATCATGTCATCTGCACGACATCCTTAGGTGTACTCAAGGAAAACTATCAAAAAATGTTTACACCCTCGTTGCCTCTGTCCAAATGTCGAGCCATTGATGGCCTCAAATTAGGTACAGTAGATAAATTTTTCTTGGAATTCGCCGAGCCGTTCGCACCACTTGATTGGACAGGTTTCTGTTTTCTTTGGCGTGACGAGGATTTAGCAGAATTACGAGACTCCGACCGATTTTGGTTAGAGAGTGTTTTCGGATTTTATCGAGTCTCTTGCCAACCACGTATCCTGCAGGGTTGGATAATTGGACCCCACGCACGTCACATGGAAACGTTACCAGAGGACGAGGTACGTAAAGCGCTAATCTGGCTTTTCGAGAAGTTCTTCACATTTCAAGTGCCTACTCCATTGAGATTTCTGCGTACCCGCTGGTACACTAATCCCAATTTCCGTGGAAGCTACACGTTTCGTACACTGTATGCCGACGAGTTACGCACAGGTGGCTGGGACTTAGCCGCTCCCCTTACGGCTGAGGAAGACGGTAAGCCACTGCTGCAATTCGCTGGCGAGGCCACGCACACACATTTTTATTCGACGGTGCATGGTGCGGTGGAGAGCGGTTGGCGTGAGGCGCAACGCTTGATCTCCTACTATCTAGGGCGCACTTCACAATTGTAAACAGAGCTGGTAAGCTCTTTACCTAGTCGCCGAGTGATGATGGATGCCTTGGTAATATAAACGATATCTGCGGTGTTATCAGTAGTTTTTAGTCGAACGCTTAGACAAATTTATGTGCTTTATTATGATTTTGTAATCTGCCAGAGAAGTTGATAAAATACTACACTTTTGTAGCTATTTGAATTGCAAATAACAGTGTACAATGTGCTAATAAGTATTATTTAATTATTGTCGAACTTGTGTTTAACTTTGAAAATTGTATTGGTATTATCTAAGAAGTTTTAGTTGTTTGAGCAAATCAAATTAAACCAAAGCGTAAGTATGTATGCGTGTTTTTAGTGTTAGAATCTAGTCCGTCTTAAACTCAAAAACATACTATCCGCTCCTCATAATGGGATGAAATTCTCTTCTATTTTCAATTCCAAGACAACTGAGAAGCCTGATAGCTCTTAGCAGATCAAAGCTCAAGCGATATATTTATAATTTGAGCGGCGGAAAATCCCTAGATTAAGATACCCGATGAATTTGACAACAATTGCATTAAAAAAATAAATTTTCTATGGTTTTATCCTTATGACAAAAACCTCTAAAAGAGAAGTCAATGTTGAAATTCGCATCAAATTTACCTATAAATTGATTTTTCCACCACAATAACCAAGTCCAGGTCACTATTTGCACGCCTCTAAGCATCTCACCTGACAGGTACAACAGTCAACTGAAACATGCTTGACTTAAACCAAAGTTTAATTTCATGCTAGCGTAGACTTAAATATTTCCCTATTCAGAACGGCTGACTCGCTTAAAAGTCGGAACACTTGCTTGGCGGAATCCCGATCTGAATCTAACCAAAACGTTATTTCTGACTTTTGATAAATTGTAAGTGGAACCAATAGCTAGGGGGTGGTACTTAAATGAATAATAATGAGCAGTGGGTAGAGCTTTTATCTGATTCGAATGGTTGACGCCATGTCTCTATGAAGGCGTTACGAGGATTACTAATTATATGATTCTTAAATATGGCACGTTCCCGTACCTCAAATGTACAGAGCATAGTGTCTCTATATTGGCTGTGTTGGCGACTGCTGCCATCCAATATGTTTAGGGGTCGAGTCCTGGCCATGGAATAGTTTTTCTAAACGTGTTTCTATTTCTTCAATCATTTTTAATGGGAGAGTTGGATCATTTAATCATGCCGCTCCTTTTATTCACAACCAACATCTAGAACTTATGAATTTACTGGAGTAGAGAGAAAACCGTCGTTATTTTAAGTACATTAAAGGGATAATAAAGAAATAAAGTAAAAAGCATATACAATTTATTTGTTCGGTCGAGTATTTCATTCCATATTTTAACAGATATATTAATACTCGTAAATTATATGGAAACGTAGATATAATGCGTCGTACATCAAGTGTTTGCCGCGTGAGTAATCCCACAGCTTTACAAGCAGCCAACACATCAACACTCGCAAAGAGGTCAACAAGTAACCAACCAGAACTGAAAACCGCACAAATCAACAATATACATTCTGCTGAAAGCGCTGACATACCACGACGTGAATCGCTACACAAGCCAACATGGCAATATAAAATACCTGGGCAGCACCCATCTAATGCAGAGGCAACAGCCAGTTCAAATGCGCCCACCCAAGTGACAGTCAATTCTGATTCAGATGATGACGATGATGAATATTTACGACGACCAAGTATTGTTAAACATCATCACTACTACCAAGAGAAGGAAGTACAACAACAGCTACAATTACCAACAAAACCACTGCAGCAATTGCGACGAGCTAGCTTGCATAGCGGAGTTTGTTTCAAGGGCAACACAAAAATTACTCGGCATCACACAATCGCCAGCGCAGATTTAAAGGTCGCGACCGACAATGGTTTACCACTGCGACGCAAAGGTAGTTTGGCACATACCCCGCGCACATTTGGAGTAATGATACAAAATTCTTCGCATCATTCAACGACATTCAACACTAGCGATGATCACCTTTCAACCGCAGACTTCTCTCCGACAGGATCAATGGGTGGTGTAGCGTTGTGTAGACGGGCAGGCCATGCTCTGATGCGTATGGTTTCGTTGGGTACAAGGACGGATGTGCTTGTTGCGCATTCCAACAATGGGAGGACTAGTGCTGATGGCGAGGAGGCGTACGACATGATGGGAAAGGTGATATTCATTATTTGATGTTTTGCTTTCATTTACTTTTCATGTTTGGTCATTAAAAGATTATTCTCGCTTCCCAATATAACAAGTACATAAATTAAATTTATTTCGTTTTGTTGGTACATTTGTATTGTATATTTTTTAGAAATAATTTTTAGAAAAGCCTTTCTATCTTCTAACAGCAGAAGAATAGCAGTAAGGAATAATATCCAACCCATTACCCTTAATAAGATCCTTTACCAGATTTCTTGTTTTGAACTTCGCGCTTTGCAGTGCATTGTACACTACCTACAAATTTCATTGAGCCTGACCACAACAGTTCGGTAAATACGTGTATCTCAGCATATCGATATTTGTGTTTTCCATTTAGTGAAACGCAAAGCTGAAGAGTGAGCACTGTCGTCGCACACATTAGTTTTAAACTGTTATTTGTTTGGAAGCTGTGGGATTCAGGAAAGTCAAGAGATATTATCATTGTAGAAGTAATACAAACGTTATAATTTTCTACACTACACCGCTAAATGCTGCCTCTTGAAATTTGATAAAAAATATGGAACAAAAAAACAAAATTAAATATTACTTATTTCTGCTTTTGCTCTGTTTTCTAACAATTCCCTTTTGATAGGTCATTATGTTGGGCGATTCAGGTGTTGGGAAAACTTGTATACTGATTCGTTTTTATGATGGAAAATATATGCCTCACTACTATATAACCACAGTAGGCATTGATTTTCGGGTAAGAATCTCGGTTCCATCAACTCTTGTCATGAAGCTGAAGTAAAATGGACAAAACTGTTGCACGGGTGTCTTTCTTAACTTTAGTGTACGTATCTATTTGTGCTTAATCCCTATGTGTATGTACTGTAGTTATGCGTTGTATATATGTATGTATCATATATTTACGAATTTTATTTTATTAATAAAAATCAATCAAAACGAAAATAAAATACCTTCATCAAAATATTTTTCTAAATAAAAACAGTGCGACAGTAAAAAGTTAAACTACCGTTTAAGTGCGTAATTTGATATATTGGAAAATGTAGCTGCGGTTTTTTAGTATATTTTTGAACAAAATATTCTATTTTTTCAATTTTAATTTTAATCAAATACCTATTGACCATTTTTATATATTACGTTTTGGCATTTTTCGGATAGCTTTGTAATTTCAACAGTGTAGAACTTCTATGTTGTATCGGCGAAGAACTTGCCCGAACAACCCTCAGCTGCTTTTCGGCTGAGCAGAGTTTCGCAGAGATGGCGTAAGGTGCCGATCTATGTGATGCTTGTGGCTTGGCCCTGCCATTATGAAACTCAACATCTTTTCTATTGAGCAGTCGTTTGTGGAAGGTCAACGGCCTCTTTTCGTTTTGTGTTTTCGCATTTAACTTATTTTTCATCGCCTGTGATGAGTTGCTTCAGAAAGGATTAGACTTTATCACGTTTCAGAAGCGTTTCACTAATGGTAATTATATGGTTTTTACATATATTACATATTTTTATAGTGAGATTTGTCTTCACAAACAATATTGCCTGAAATATCAGCTTTTCAGTTGACCCAACCGCATTAGTATTGCCCGCAGATCTTATTTATTTGTCGAATATTTCATCGAAAGAGACTTTTATTTGATGTTAGAAGTCAAGCCGTCAGGACTACTCTCGGCTCTTTGTCCATGGACGATAATGGAAATTTATAAATTGCGCATAACGTAGTGTTAAACTCAACATTTAGACGAGAGCAGGTTTCACTTCAAGGTCTATTAAGTATAATATTCTATATTCAAAATCCTAGATCTCCAGAGAGCATAATTTTTACTTATTTGAAATAAAAAATATCGTATCACGAAGTGGTGTTACGAAGTGTACAGACATACATACATATGTACATTCAGCGAAACTGATTAAAAAATAATTGAATTTGTGTTAAAAATATTCGGTGTTCACTGTTGCTAGTCCCACAGTCCCACAATGCGTATGCGTAACTTACTTGTTTGATGTCAGCATCCTACGATTTCCTTTAAAAAGTTCTGTTAAAACCATGATAAAAGTATTTATCGATGAAATCATCGGTTTTATTGTCATAACCCTTGCCCTGTCCTCAGCGTGTAAATAATATAATACTTTATTAAACCATCTTATGAATGTGTTTGTAAATTAATCAATGTTACATGCATACATATATCATGTTTACAAACATTAAATTAAATTGAACATTGGGACACATCAATTTTCTGTTGATTTTAAGTTTTTTGCATACATCCAATTGTTGAACAATTCTCTAAACTCTGGTAGTATTATCTATGAGAAGAAACCTGGTACCAATGGGTGCATGTATTAATAAATGGGATTTATGTGAATATCATAAAATATAAATTATTTGTAAGCACAAACTCCAGCAGTGCTTTAATATATAAATTTGTTTATATGCTTAAATACGTATGTACATGAATTCTTATTATTCAACACAATAGAATAAAATTGTTGTTGTGGATGGTACGCGCGTCAAATTGCAAATTTGGGACACAGCTGGGCAGGAGCGTTTTCGCAGCGTCACTCACGCATATTATCGAGATGCACATGGTACTCTTTTGATTGAATTGTTTGTTATAATGCTTGACAAGGCGCTCTTACTTATAGAAAGTATATCAATATTTTTTTCTTGTTTTAGCACTTCTTCTCTTGTATGACGTCACCAACAAAACAACTTACGATAACATCCGCGCTTGGCTGGGAGAGATAAGAGAATATGCACAGGATGATGTTGTAATAGTGCTTATTGGTTCGTTAAAATGTATTTCTAGATGCATACATATACATACACAAATTTTCGTACATATCTAAAATTTAAATTTATTCATGTAAGTGGGATGACTGAAGAGGTGCGAGCTAATCGACAGCAAAACGTTTTAAATACCAATGTAAATTGCCTATAAGGTGCACTAGACCTTGTTATTGTTGTATAATGAATATATCCCGTACATACTCGTACATATGTATATGTATTGTATGCCTCGCGATTTAGCCTCGATTTGTCTAATTTCAATTCGCCTTCTTCACTTCACGCCCGCCACTTTCTCTCAACTCTGCTGCTGATATTTGGAAATAATTTTCACAAACCAGTTTAAGTATCCTTCGGTTCATCCAGTCAACGAATACTTTTCCACAAATTAAAATTGCATTGTATATGCTCAAATTACCAAATCCGTGCAATTGTATCCGCATGATAAAGTCGAAATTTTTCACAGGCTATATAAAAATTTTATTATTCCAAAAATACAACAAGTATCCAGCAAATTGAACCCTGAAGACGATATTTTCGAATATACAATATTAGTCCCTGGCCTCTGGTAAGCAGCAATTTATATATCAGTAGAGAAAGTGTTGTCATATTAATTTAGGCCCATTGCTACTTCTTCTCCAGATTTTAGGTAAATCAAACAATAAATACAATGTTTTCAAATAGCTTGGTCTTGGAGGTCCACATCCCGGATGTTTACGTTAAACCCAGAAAATACCACTAAGTTTTAGGTCTCTACAATCAGTGGTTTAGGCTGTGGGCTGAACCGTCGGTCATTCAAAAGAGATCTTTCTAAATACATATATATATAGGAATCGCAATAATGCTTTAGTTGAATGTACAAGAATGTCCATATTTAATGAAAATATTTCTAAATCGGATTAAATATATAGAGCTATTCGATGTTTTAAGTATGAAAATCTTCACTCTAATTCTACTACTTATAAAATAAAGGTGCTCTTGAGTACTCTGATCAATACAATGCTGAATTATTCGCTATGATAAATTCTCTAAATATGCCTATAGAACTCATTTCTTTATATACTTTAATGAGCATAAATAAATGACAAATCTAGTGGCTCTGTTCAGGTCAGAAAATATTTAATTTTGAAATCTTTGCAAAATACTCATCGAATCGATATTCTCATTCCACTATGATCTTATAAATACATACACACGTTCCTTCAAAAATGCTTTAATATTGCTTATGTATATAATATGTATGTTTCGAAAGGTAACAAAGCAGACTGCAGCAATAGTGAACGGCAAGTAAAACGTGAAGATGGAGAACGTCTCGCACGAGAGCACAACGTCCCATTTATGGAAACATCAGCAAAAACGGGATTGAATGTGGAATTAGCTTTCTCCGCCGTCGCTAGGTGAGTTATGTTACAAATGAAATTAAAGCACAATAGACGAAGATTGTCGGAATTCTTTTCTTTTGAAGGCAACTGAAATGTCGTGGCACTATCAATGGCGATGATGGAAAATTCAATGTCCACGATTTCGTGCGCGATAATACAAAAGCACGCACAATGTGCGCACAATGCAAATCGATGTAGGCATATACACACAAAAAAGCTATAATTTAAAAAGAAAAATGTAAAATAAATAAATGTTTAAGCCCAAAATTAAAAGCTTTACTATTTACCTTTCCCATTTTAAGTGACAAGCGTTGGAATGGGAAGTTATACAAGTGTATCAAGGCTTTGGAGAAAAATTGTTCGGTTATTGATTTGCCCAACTCAATCCAAGGCTTGTTTCATCTTCTGTAAACACCTGAACTTACTAGCAGTGCACGCTTCACTCTTATATAGTCACCGATTGCTCGCATGTACATTTATTAGATTCCGTTTGAATGTTTTCGATAACCAGCATATTGTTGCGAAAATGCGAGGCGAATGTCAGATGAAAGAGAGAAGCCGATAACTAGTACATTCTAAACAAGAACCTTCGATAGCGAACAACTCGATGCTTCTACGCCTTCGTCTGCGAGCAGCCGACTGCTATATAAGGACGACACTCAGCTGCCAATAAGTTAGTTACAAAGTGAACTCGTTGGCGTTAACATCAGTAAAGTCGTAAAGTAAACGCGTTGGGGATTACATTTAAGTAAAGCAATTGTGAAAGTTGATGATAGTGATTGTAAATACAATAGTAAAGTGCATTGTAATTGAATGGTGAATTACTTAGTAAATAAAGGACATTAAATTAAATCTTTATAACGAAAGAAACTGCAAATTAAGTTGGCGAGTTTTTATTTAAGAATCCAGAGATCGTACCCGAAGGATTCAGTAATAATCGAGGTTGATTTAGTAAAATTGTTAAATAAATCCCAAAGGATAATATTTGCAAAATGGTAAAGATACAGGATTTGACGATACCTCTTCTCAAGAGGGAGTTGGCATAGCGAGGATTCTCGACAACTGGAAATAAAGCAGAGCTGCAATCGAGACTGCGAGAAGCAATGGAAGTTGAAGGCATCGATTTAAACCAGTATGAGTTCCATCGCGAGGATGAAGATGTATCCTTGAAGGACATTGAAAAGGAAGAGGCTGATGGTTCTGTGAAGGAGTTGGAATCACCATCAAGTCAGATTCAAGAAAAGGATCCTGGTTCATCTAAGCGTATTGACATGAACATGTTATTGACTGCTATCTCGAGCATCTCACAAAAGTTCGATGCACAGGACACAAAAACGAACGCCAGCATCGCACAGAATATGTCTGAAATGAAAGCTAGCCATACATCACAAATGGTTGAACAGAGGGAGCAGATGTCATCCTTGGAAGGAACAATAGCGCAAATACAGCAAAATCTGGTAAGGAACAATGCGGAACTTAAGGAAAGACAGGATCTAATTGAGACCAAAGTCAACGCATTGGAAAGTCGTGTCCGGGAATTGCAGCTAAATCGTCCAACCGCTTCAGTGAACGCTCTGAAGGTAAAAACACCATCTTTTGACGGGAAAATCCCATTTCAAGTCTTTAAGCTCCAATTTGAGAAGACAGCTGAAACAAGCAACTGGAGCATAGAGGAAAAATCCGCTGCACTATTCGTTGCGTTGGA